CGAGCCTCGCAGAGAGCATTTGATTTGTTCCAAGCCTTCGTGGCGTCATCAAGTCAAATATCATCAACCACACAAATAGGATTTCCGGTAGGTTCACAATTCCCAAGAAAATACAAAACCGCAAATATTGAGATTCTCTAATACTCAGGCGCGCGTGAAACTAATCGATGCCACCGGGATGATTCCGCATAGTCTTGCTAGTGAGCGTCGGGAATATCTTTAAAATCTTCCGCGTGCGCTTTTTGGTAGGTTCGCCGAATTCTGTGGAACAGGCGGAGATGTTCGCTTGGCAAAATGAAATGACAAAGTCTGACGCGGAGTTGGCTTATCAAGTGCCAGCGAGCAACTGTAGAAGATATTCTTCGCTGTGCGGTACAGTTGAGAAAGATTATTCTTATGCAGTTGTGTATACTGTGGACGCGTATTCGCCACCTGAGGCTTATGGGAGTTTGTCGGAGATGACGGGGAGTACGCACGTTGGGGATAAGAGGAGTAGAGAGAGTTCGGAAGATCGAAATGTAACGAGTTGGTCGTCGAAAAACGTAAGTGCTTTTTTTTGGATGTGATATACAGTGTGTGTGAAATTGATATGCAGATATGTAGTTTTTTCTTGGGGTTTTATGAAAATTTCGATCTGAAAATTCACATATTTTTTGCTACTCTCGCTGTGCTTACAGAAGTATTTGAAATCAACATGAGAAATGCCCTATAGCGGAAATCGTGGTGCCGGGTTGTCGGGGTGTATATGATATAGTAATAACATTATATGAAAGTGTACATGGGAGTTTCACCCTAGTGATATGAAAAACATATTTCACAACTACTGCTTATCACCGCGAATGACATCGCGTTTTTCACGACGAGTATTACGACGCCACTTCACGTATAACGGGTCGTCGTGAAACGCCATAGTTAAATCGTACTTAAACATAGCCAAATCGATGGACCAATAACCTCTTTCTCCATTGTCTTTTCGAACGCTAATTGTACTGTGTAAATAGACGCCTTTGAATATTATAGAGCCTCTCTACTCGACTGTGGTTGTGTATGAGTGTTTGTGATATTTACTATGGATCTCGTTTTGGAAGTCTCTGGTATAGGCGAAAATGAAAAAAAAATTTCGTCGGAGAAGACGAAATAAAGACGTATCATTGAGAAGGAAGAGCACGCTAGTGCAATAGCCTGGTGCCACGTGAAAGAGTGAATTAAAGTTAAAGTCAGAGTTACAGACTATTGCTAGTTGAATCTCGGAAAAATATTTCGTCCCTGTGTTGTAGATTTTGAGGTGTTCATCTCTTCCACTGCTGTCGGACACTCTTCCCCACAGAGTTGCCACCAGCGCTAAGTTCGCGGCAATGAAGCAGGCTAGAGTTCCGGTGAGCGATAGGAAGCCTCCTCAGGTGAGTATCTTAGGTTGCTGTTGGTAAGATACGGATTAGGTCCCCCTGATATGTGAAACATTAAAGTGTTGTTGGTTTTAATATACTCCTATAGTAAATTTTGGTAAAATTTTTGAGCTCAGCTGAGGAAATCAAAGAAAAATTCTAACACTGCTTCCAGTGCAGGTGATTTGCAAGTAAATTTGAATATATCTATGGAGGAGTATACAGTGTTGACTGTTGGAGGAATATATGTTTGACTTTTTTTATGAATTTTTATGGAAATTTATATTTTACTTGCATATTATATTTATACATGAATTTAGAGAAAAGTGTATAAAAACCGACAAAAAATTTTTTTATTATCACCAACACATGTAGTTGAGCATGTGTATATTGGAGTTTCACCCGTTTTTCGCGAAGTGAAATGTTTTTTTCTTATCGTGGGTGAAACTCCATTCTTCCCTCCTCACACAGGTCTGCACACTATCCGTCTCTACTTCGTCGACTTCGCCATCCCTATCCACTGGTATCACCGCGATGACATGTTCGAGTGATGCCAGTGTTATCGGTGCGGCATGCGAGGCGGGGAATAAAGTGCTCCTGTGGAATTTGGGTAAGTGATGGTTGGATTTCTCATACGTCGTCGAGGAGGCGGGAAAAGATATTTGGTAAATTTTCGGAAATTTTTTGGTGCTTTTAATAGAACTACAGATATGAAAAAATTATTTTTTGGGTGAATTTTGTCCGATTCACTTTTCTTGAAACTAAGCTCTCCTGGAGAAGGGTGGATTAGTCTGGAATGAAGCGCGCAGGTTCGAATCCCACGGGAGTCATTTCTAATGCAATTATTATTTTGGTGAAATATGCATATGGCGAACTACATGTGTTGATGACAGAAAAAATTGGGAGGAAATTTTGGGAAGTTTTTGTTGGTTTTTGTACACTTCTAAGTAGATTTCCATAATGTAGCTGTGGAAATTCCCGAGCTCAGCTGAGGAAACTCAACATATATATTCTCCTAACATTGAAGTTTCACCGTAGTAATATGAAAAACATATTACCGCGAATATCGCGTTTTTTACAGAGTATTACGGGTGAAACTTTATTGTATAATCGTTCCCTGTATTACTATCAGATGCTAAATCTGATCTACTTTCTGCACCGGGTGAGCCTCCTACGTCGGAAGTCGCGGCGCACACGCTGGTATCGCAGGATCTACGCTTCGTTTCGAGTGTTTATAAACATCTGTAAGCGTGGGTGAAAATATGGGGGAGGTCGACTATGTGTTGGTGACGATGAGAAAATGCTGGGGAATTCTGGTTGGGTTTTATACCCTTTTGCGTGTAGGAATTTTGGTAATGTTGTGAGAAGTGGACAAGACGAAAAAAGGAAAATTTTAAAACAAAATAACAAAAAATATTAGGAAGAACTTTTTTCAGGAACTTTTTCGGGTAGTTTATTCCCCGTTTTTCTAAACAGAAAATAGTCCCGGGAATTTGTTTTTTTGATGTTTTTGATGTTTTTTAATACAAGGAGTTTTTATCTCCTCGAAAGTTGTGGATGTGAAGTCAAAGTAACGGTGAAGAATATGACCGTTTCATCTCCATATCTAAGCCATGTTGAAGCCTCAGTCTAAACACGTTTAATTTTCGAATTTGCCTAGGAAAAAATACGCTCCTTAGATACTACGACAATTCCGATCCGGCCTCCCTAGATGGGCACACCAGCAAGATAGTGAGCGTATAGATGAATTTCGGCATCGTGAGAAGTCTCTACTTCAGAGTGTTCCTGTCGGTGGCGGTGTTAGCGCGATCGATTTGGCCCCGGACTGTCCGTTGTTGGCAGTCGGCACTCGGAGGGGACAGCTTTCTCTATGGAGTGAGTCTTGAGCGTTGCGATGTGGGGGAATATGCACATATTTAACGATATGCAAATGTGAAGAATGTGTGTTGTTATTTCCCGAGATTAATGATAGTGAACAAGTTGTCGCTATCACGGTCTCGAAAGGTTACTTTTATCACATCACATGTTCATATTTATACGATATAGTTTCAGATCGATTCTTATTAATTTACCGCAGTTCGGCGCACTGTACGTGTGTTGATGAGAATATGAAAATTTTCAACAAGTTTTGGGGAATTCTCATTGGTTTTCGTACACTTTTACACGAATTCGTCTGTGAATTTTTATAATTGGTGAGGAAACTCCTGAGAAAAGCAAACATATATCTCGGAAAAAATACATATAATCAACGCGGATATTCTTCTGAGGGATGTTCCCGTTGCTGTCTATCGTGCTTTATTCGTTATCACTAGGGAGTGCTCAGGTGTCGAGAAGCTGTGTAAAATAGTTGCCTACAGCGGTTACGGTTCGACAAACCCTTTGTGGGCATTGAAGTGGAGTCCCCTATCGTAGGGTGTGGTAGAGTTGGTTTACTTTTATCAGTGTTTGTATAGATATTATATGTGTACGACGGCACCCTCGGCTAATCTGTCGGGAGTAGACTGTCGGTTATGGCGAACAGATGTACCTGTTTGCCTTAGAGTCTTGGTGGAGGATACGCATGGCAAGAGGCTCTCCTGTGGGTGAGTCGGGGAGTAGGTTCATCTACAGTAAGTGATGTTTGATCACAACACATGTTCATAGCCTCACTTGGTGAAATACGCGATATTCGCGGTGATATGCAGTAGTCGTGAGAAAGGTTTTGCACTAGCGTTTTTCATACCACATTATATGAGATGTAATTTAGTCTCGGATAATAACGCGAATTCTCCACATTTGCATATCAATAAGAACTACCGTGCTAGTATGTTGCGCAGATTCAACCAAATGTGTTGGCATCCAAGTGGGCAGATGGTGGCTGTCGCGCAAGGCGAAGTCATACAGCTATGGGATGTTGCCGCCCCGAGATGTGAGTACTCGAATATCTGTTATGATTCCTGTTGTTGTTTTTATCGTAGCAGTCAAACTGCGAATCTCGAGGTTGAGAAATACTACTATAGTGTGTTATGTTCTTATTCTTATTCTTCTTCTCAATCGTGGACGCGGCACAGCCATTCCCTGGCCATTTGCCGGCAACATGATTCCTTTTGTAGCCGCCCTTCTGCGGCTCGTTAGTCTCCGCTCCGTTGAGTTCAATTTCGTCCCGTATTTCTCCCATACGGTCATTCGTGTGTGTGTTATGTTCATACTACGATATTCGATCTTCCATTATGAATATGAATATATCATAGCTATAGGGGAGAGAGGTCCATGTTGACGACCCAGGATCTGTGCAGGTGCTCGTAAGCTCTTCCTACCCCCTGGTGCCGGTTTAGTACTGTGTATGGAATTCTCACATGGTGGAGAGCAGTTAGCTGCAGGAACTTCGGCAGGTGAGTGGTCATTGTGGTTGTGAATGATTTTCTGCTGGCTTAGGACGCCAGATCTGTTGGGATCTGCGGAAGACCGGGCAGCGACTTTGCAACCATCCGACTGGATCGCCAGTGTAAGCAACTGTCGAGTAGAAAAATTCCAGCTTTGGAAAATCTATCCTATTCGGCAAATAGTATTTGCAGCTATTTGCCGCTACGAAATCAACTATGTGTTATGGTGTGAAGAGAGCTTCATTTTTGTGACTATATTCGACGTTATATTTTGTCAGGACGTGTTTGACTTGGTCTTGGCCAGTGGCTGGGATGTCGCATGGTCTCGATGGTATGCCGGTACCGCCTCAGTACGGTTATGAACAGCTCGTTTCAGCCGATGACACCGGGAAGTGAGTTGGCGATCGGAATTATTTACTCAACGATTATGCTTTAGGTTGTCTCTATGGGATCGAGTTCATCTGGACAAGCCTTGCACGCTGACGTTGTCGCCACCGTCACCACTGGAGCTTGGATATGACGTGTCGGCGTCGGCAGCTCGCAAGGGGGTTAATTTCAGTCCTCATATATTGCGGTTTACTCCGAGTAACTTCCTTACGATGGTCGGAGTATCAACTTTTCAATAACGTCAGTTACTCGGTGTTGAGTTTACACACTGTTAGATTATACTTCCTGTACCAACACGTGTGGACTACGTGTATGGAAATAGGGATAGCGCGCGGCAGCGGAGCGAAGCACGTCCCATCGAGATGATAGCGCGCGCCCGAGTGATCGATTTTGTGCGCAACTTGAAATCGAACCGCGCGATCATCCTAGGTTGACGTAGTGCGATAGAGGCCATCCCCGTTAAGGAATTGGCAGTTACTACAAGCCAATGTTTGCCAGGCGGCTAGTTGAACACTCTTTCTACCTACAAAAGGGCAGATCCCTCAGGTGTTGAATTATGCCACTTGTTAGTGTGAAATCAATACGAACGTATTATGTTCGTATACAGTACGGATCGAGTACGCCTTTTAGTAAGGTCGTAATACAAGACCTGAGCAAGAGACCAAATTGCTGTGTTTCGATAGACCTTTTCTGAGTTCCAACACTACTCCCAGGATCGAGTTTTACATTCAACCCTGGGACCGCTCTCGAGGCGACTATGATGAGGTTATACCGACTCACGCATTCTGCCAAGTGGGGGGGGGGGGAATATTAAGGAATGTTAGTGAGGAAGTGATGGTAACCTTTTATCGGAGGATTTAGGTGAGTAGGAATGGAAGTATCTGTTTTGGAATATTCTGACGGAAGATTCAGAGGACCGAATTTATGGTCAAGTAGTGGTAGTAGTCAGCCGGGCACGACCCTGTTGTAATGTGGGGGAAATATGTTCACGCGAAAACTCCGTGTAAAGTATGGATTTCCTGAGAAAATTTTTGGAATTTCTTGTTGGTTTCTGTACACTTCTACTACCCGAATTCTCATGAAAACTTCTATAATTAGCTTTGGAAACTCCTGAGCCTCAGCTGAGGAAAGCATACGTATATTCCTGCAACACTGCATGTTGTATCGCTTCACTTATGCATGCTTCTTCTGAGTTGTTAATACCGC